AAAGGTAGCCTGCAATCTAGCCTTCTGCGCCGGAGTGAATACGATCCTCGTAGGTTTTCCGGACGTACCAGCACAAATCCCATTTGGAGTTCCTGATTTTGCAGCTGAGCAGAGTTTTCCTGTGTCTAGGTCCGTGTCCAAAGGCCGAGAACCATTGGTGGCAGAGATGCAAAACGAAAGACCGGAAACTATGGCTGCAGAAGCGGCTGCCTCAAGACTCGTAGTAAGCTCGAGTTCATCTCGACCAGATTCATTGGAAAAACGGATAGGGTCTGAGAATGTGGCATCATTACTAACAAAAAAGCCGCGTGAACATAATGTATTGCAGCCGTTACTGTTGCCATCTATGCCACTAAGATTATTGCTGACAGGAGCAGTAGCAGTATCACACTCGCCAATCCATTCAGTCGTGGCCAGCCTACCTCGCTCTTGAGGACCAGTATCCAATAGCCCTTTTCCTCCCTTATCAAGATCTCCGAGTGTGAATGAGGAGCGAGCGGAATTGAAAGATGCTCTTGATCCCACGTAGCCATTTCTAAGAGGACTACTAGCAACGTTGATCGAAGATGTCTCACAAAATGGTTCAGGAATAGCGCATGGACTTTTCTGATTCGTGGCCAAATTGATGTCCATATTGGGTCGATGGGATGAGTGAATTCGAGTATAGACATTTTCGTTATTCGAAGAAACTTGTTCATCAGTAATATGATTGTTTAGGGAGATGCTGGTCGGAGTTGTGTCATGGCATGAAGAGGGGGCTATGACGAAGTGAAAAATACGGATAAATCATGACCAGTTAATGTTTGTATGTACGCACCAAACTAAAAGGTAACATTAATGTATTGTATTTTATAATTATTCTGATTCGGTAGTGCTGCCAAAGCGGCCATGATAAGAGAAACTTGACCGTAGTCCTCTGCCATAGTAGGCAGATACTAAATATTAAGGGCCAAATGAAGTTTTCTTCAGTTACGCCGTCTTTTAAAGATAAATTTGGCTCAGTATCATGATCAAACTACTAAAAGA